GGGGGGGGGGGGGGGGGGGGGGGGGGATATAAAAGTTAACTCCTTGTTTGATATTAATTTACCGAGTGAACTTCTTTGTTCTAAAAGTACCAGATGCAAAAGAAAGTTTGTCCCCTCCTTGGAAGGTATATGTGTGGGAGAGGGGAGACCCTTCTCCTTTATTCTAAAGCTTCTGAAACACACTCTTTCATGACACAAGAAAGGTCATCTTACTTACATTAATCAAAAATCTAGTCATATCCTGCAATACTTTATAATTCTTCCTCCTCTACTTTCTGTGTCAAACCGACTCCATACTCCTTGGCTGGGAAAGAAAAGCATGGATCTCCACAGTTGGAATTGGGCCTGACTTCCTGGTAGCATTCTGCAGACACACAGGACCTTCCGTTTGCTATCGCACTGGCCACAGCAGTACTGAGTTAAGCATAGCTACTTTACCTGGAGTAGATGAGGGTACTGGGAATCACTGCCAGATTTAATGGCCATTAGGGCATTTCTCTGGAAAAGCTGATGAGTGCATTAATAACGGGGGAAGTGGTTTTCATTCTTCCCCTAAATCACTGGTGTTAGTAACCCTATAAGCCTACCATTTTATCGACCGGACGTTCTTGTGTTTGGATGTTCTTGTGTCTTGAGGCCCTTACTGCTGGATATTGGGGTGTTTATAATGTAGGAAAGTCTGCCCTCTGCTGCAGACTAAGGATAAGAAATCCCTTTGCAAGTTCATAAGATAATAGTCTATTGGAAAACAATATATGTACGTATCCTCTTTTCTTTTTTGCTTTTCTCTCTGGATTTGTCATCTTTTTATTTAATTGGGACCAATCTAAGTGTTTGGCCCCCAAACCATTTAGGACACTGATTGGCTGCCATGGAGATAGGTGCTAAAACCACACGGGGCATGAGGGAGAAAACCAGTGTCCATCTGCTGAAACAAACAAGTCTAAACTGGTCCCCCGGTGGGACCTAGGGGAGAATGACCAGAAGGGGCAGGTCTCCCATCGCTGTGGTACCAACAGGGCCAAGTGTCCTCCCTGGGCTTTTTTCTTCCTGGCCAACTGCATTTCAGAAACTCTGCAACATCTCTGGAGAGTCCTACTCCCACCACTGCACAGGAAGGCGCCTCGCCCCCAAGAGCCAGTGGGCTCTCACCACCCCGGTCAACCGTGCTTCCACTCCCTTTTCTTAGGTTTCCAATTAGCCCACGTTCACGGTCAGGTTTATGACATCAGATCCACTCCAGATGAAGAGGAAGGAAAGTGGTTCCCTCAGAAGCCACTGTAAACGATAGCAGATTAGCAGTTGGATCCTGTTATGGAAAGTTCCTGTGTGAATGGAAGCCCTGGTCCTTGTGAGATCCAGGCTTGGGCTGAGCAGGAAGAACAGGAACAGGGCCAGCAGCAGCAGCAGTGCCTTGCCTTGTGATGGGGGGAGGTGGTGTCATGTTGGAGGAGGGGACACAGGATGCTAAGACTTGGGACTGTCCCCCTGAGAAGCTAGAGACAGACAGGCGTTCTGAGCCTCTGAGAGCTCTAAGAAGCATTTCTGAGAGCTATGAGGCTCTCCAGAAACTCACGCAGCCCAGATCCTGAACTTTAAAGGCAGAACTTTCAGTTTATCAAGCAGCCAAATGGTAGATTTAAACTCTTTTTTGAGGAAGTTTTTTCTTTGTTTATTGCAAAGTGCTTCTTTATTCATTTATTCAACACATATTTATTAGACATCGACTATGTGTGAGGCACTAAAGATGTGAAGCCAACTAAATGGTGCTTCACTCTTTCCTAAGGACTTACTTGCATTTTAACACTCTAAATTTTGTTCTGTAAGGTCAATTTATTGCCCATCATGCACATGGGCAAACAGATTTTAACAAGTTAAATAACAAATTAAATAATAAGTTAAATAATATCGAATCGTCAGTATGGGAGAAGATACCCCACCTACCACTAGTACCTGTCTAAATGTTTATGTCTAAGCCTCATGTCATTCCAACCACTGTTAAATAAATTTTAAAAGACTCCAAGGTCCAGAACACCAATGTTCTCCATCCTCAGAAAAAGTGCCCACGTGTCTTTGTCAGAAGGGAAGATTGCAGTGGCTCTGCCACTTTACACTGCCCACATCACATTAGGCATGTGACCACGAGCAAAACGCCCAGCTGCTCCAAGCTACTTACTCAGTTGCAAAATGAGAAAAACAATAGACCTCCATAGCAAGGGTAGTTTGAGATGATTAAAAAAGATATCATACGTAAAATGGCAAGAACGTTTCTAAGCAAAAAATAAACCCTTAATATGTAACAAGCAAGATTCCTGAGAGTCATGCACTTTGTGGGAAGGCACAACTTTGTTGCATAGAATTGACTAACATATCATTTCTTTGAAATGAAGGAGCGCCTTCAATAATCTTGCAGGTCACTATTCTGAAAACCATAGGCAGGTAGGAGATGAGGAGGGAGATGCCTGTTGAAGATGATAGTGTCATACGTCTTTTAATGAGGTGTATCTTACAAGTTGGGAATGATGGTTCACCTCACAGTAACATTCATACTTCTTCATACTAAAGAATCCAAGGCCTTTTAGATAGCATTTGGCAAAAGTAGAATCAGCAGACAATCCTTGACTTCTGACCATTCCTAGACGTCTTTACTTATTTTTTAAAATATTCCCTCAGGAAATACAATACATTGCACAAAAAGGTATTCAAGAAAATCGAAGAGGTTAGAGAGTGAGAAAACAAAATATTTCCCATCACATTGGTCCATGAGCCACCATATTCCAGTAAATCCCTAAAATTTAATTTCACTGAAGGAAACCAATAGGGGCTAGGGATATTCCTCTGGAACTCCGTTTTAGGAATGCCCTTCCACAAGGTCTGCTTAACCAACTATGTGAAATGAGTCTGATATCCTTTCTTAGGGTCTTTGTTGGTGAGTAAGTTCCTTTAGAATATAAACAGTAATGTAGCAAACTAATTAATTTGGGTGAGAAAATGAAAAACCTTTGGGCTGTGGTGTAGATAAAACGGGTCACATGCTATGAGCCCAAGCCTACCTTTCTCCTTTTCCCCGTTAAAAAAAAAGCATGTTAGAAGGTCAAAGAGTAGAGCTTGATTAAAAAGGTACCTGTGCTATGAACTGCCACCATCCATTCCCCAAGTTTTCCTGAGTAATCACTTTAGTTTTCCTGTAAGGAACTCTTGAGCCCCACTCCCAGTAAGTATGGTTCTCATGACGTATGGCCATCCCTGGTCCAAACTTGGGCATGTGGTCTGAGCAGTGAGGGAGCCCATGTCACTCCAGGACACAGTGATTGACAGGTTCAGAGGTAGGTCCATGACCCATGCCAATGAACATGAAACTCAAGAGACTCAATCTGGGATGCCTTCCTAAAGTTGTCCAGAAAAGGAGGCTCTTATCTACTGGTGTTGCTAAGGAGATAGGATGTGGACTTGAAGTGCCTCATGGGCATCTTTGCCACTACTTGAAGAGAGTCTTCCTGAGAGTGAAGCCAACACAGAGAAAACAGAGAAAAGACATAGAATACAGAAAGTGTGGTTAGTGCACCTGGATCAAGCTGTGTCTGAAATCTTTCTACCTTTGGATGTTTCATGTACAACACATTCTCTCTACAATATCCCCCTTCCCTTTCTAAAGATTTTTTTAACACCTGGGTTGGGTTTCAAGCATTAAGTAGTCAATAGAGTTCCAACTTATATATATTTAGTGTCTTTATTTTTTTCTTTTTAAATGACCTACTTTTGTATTTATTTATTTATTTATTTATTTATTTAGAGTTGGAGTCTCACTCTGTCGCCCAGACTGGAGTGCAGTGGCACGCTCCCGGCCACCACAGCCTTGACCTACTGGGCACCGGCGATCCTTTCCTCCTCAGTCTTCCAAGTAGCTGCAACTACAGGCGTGCACTACCACGTCCAGTTAATTTTTGTGATTTATTGTGGAGATGAGGTCTTGCCAAGTTGCCCAGGCGGGTCTTGAACCTGCGGGCTCAGGCAATCCACTCACCTCAGCCTCCCAAAGTGCGGGATTACAGGCTGAGCCACCGAGCCTGGCTTAAATGACCTATTTTAAAGTACATGTTATGAGAAGTATTCAATATTGGTACTTTCATGATTATTCAGGAACATGCGATTTACAAAATGCCTCACTGCTCACCAAGATACACGACTGATGGTGTGTGAGCACAGCTCATCCCTACTCCCTCACTAAGTGACAGGAAAAAAAAAAACAACTAAACTCTTGAATCTCTAGCTCCCAGGCCAGGTCTCTCCTGTCCCATGCAGTTTTGAAGGGGCACAAATCCCAGGTCCTTCAGCTCCACGACTCCTTCTTCTCCTGTGTGAGGAGCTCGTTACCGGGGCCTAGGCATCGTATATGGCATTTGTTAGTGTATCTATAATCTGCAACTTCCTTTGAAAATGTGATTAACGAATTGCAAACGGTTTCCAAAGGTTTATAAACAGATACTTTCAGAGCCACAGGTAGGTTTGTAGTTTTTGGTGCCTGTTTTATGAAAAAAACATGTGGGGGAGAATTTAATAAGAAAAGATATTCTGTGCTATGAAATACTTTGAGGTGGAGTTTCAAATAAAGGCCAGATGTGGTGAACACACAAACAAGTCC